TATTGTGCAGAGCATGGTCAAAGGCTTCTGGTTTATGAGTATTGCAGTAGTGGGACACTACAAGATGCGCTGCACTCTGATGATGAATTCAAGCAACAACTTTCATGGGATACACGGATCCGGATGGCTCTTGGAGCTGCAAGAGGCTTGGAGTAAGTAAAATAACCAGTCACATATACATAGAAACCACTTGCAAATATACGAGTATATACATATGAGCTATGGAAAATCTGATGTTGAAGAGTTATTTGGCAGTGATCTATAAGAAATTTCTGTAAGCAGTACTAATAATAATTTAATACTGGAAGGTAGCAACAAACTCAAATCACAAACTAGTCCTGAACTTTCATGCTATGTACATACTACATGACATAAAATGATAAAATACTGTTGGGAGATGGTCTTTATAAGTATATGTTAACATTATATTTGGTGCTGTATTTCGGTTTATACTACTTTCCATTCCTCCTCCACATGAGTTCATACAAGGGATGCTGAACACGATTGTTGAAAGAAAATATCCTCATAGTCATCCCACCCGTGAATTATTATTAGTGGGATTGCTAGGTGATCTAATTCTTAGATTTGCATGACAAGCGAGTTAAAGCAAATTTTAAATCTCATGTATTAATTATTTGTTCTTTTATGCAATGAAGGTATCTCCATGAGGTCTGCGAGCCACCTATTATCCACAGAAACTTCAAATCTGTCAATCTTCTCCTTGATGAAGAGTTGGCTGTGCATATCTCTGACTGTGGTTTAGCTCCACTGATATCATCAGGTGCCGTGAGCCAGGTAACTTACCATCCAAATATTCTGGATTAGAAGTGTGGAACAAGCTAACATTTACCTCTTGGGGTGGGATGGTCATTTTCTGCTTGCATTTCCAGTTGAAAGAAAAGCAAGTTCCAGGTTTATAATGGAAGTGAAAATGTGAACTAAGTAGTAGTTGTTAAGAAAGGAGTGTAATGATGATCAAAATGCTTCCAAGTAACACACCGGAGTAGAGCAGTAATTAACTACAAATGCAGTTTCTCGTAAATGGATAACTTATTGTTTAGAAATAGTTGATTTTGTAGTAGTGCCAGAAGTTATACGGTCAATTTCAGAAGGGTTAAGTCTTTTTCCCTGTAAATCTGGAAATCAGGAAACAAATCTAGCTAGTCTGAGACTACCTGGTTGCCCAGCTAGTCTGAAGTATTTGTCATGTTTTAGGCTTTTATAACATTTCAATGCTTCACGAGATCTAATAGACACTAGTGGAATTTGTAAGCAGGAGAGTAGATCCTTTCCAACATATGCTGGACTTGCTTTCTCATCTTCACCCCTTGACAAAGAGATGAAATTTAGTGATCCTTGAAACTGTTCCCAACATTCTTCAGAAGTAGTTTTGCCGCTGCACATTTAGTATGATGGTGACAAGCTCCTGTATTTTTTTCCCTGTTGGAGAATTTTGACTTCTAAAGATGTGGGAAGAACAGTTTCACTATGTTAGTTTGACCTAGTCATACATAAACACACTCTACAGGTGCTTTTGTTAGATGGGTTTCAGAAACTTAAATTCTATCCACATTGTCTCCTCTCATTAATAAGAAACAGTAAAACACAAGATTGAACTAAACAAGACATCGCGGATATGACTGTTTTTTTCACTTGTACTTTGTATGATTATAGATCTGCTACTCTAGGAGCATGTGGATCATCAATCTTTGCTGAAACCTTACCTTTTTTGTTTTTCTTATGCACTGTGCTGAAGAATTTGAAATTGAATAAGTGAAGTTGTACTCGATTTTCAGTTGTCAGGACAACTTCTTACAACCTATGGCTATGGTGCCCCAGAATTTGAGTCAGGGATTTACACTTCTCAGAGTGATGTTTACAGTTTTGGCGTGGTGATGCTGGAACTCTTAACGGGCAGAATGTCATATGACCGGTAAAGCCATTTGCATCTCATTGATTAAATTTTGTTGTCATGTTTTCTCCCAGCTTTATCATTACCTATATATCATATTCAGAACTCGAAGTCGAGGAGAGCAATTCTTGGTCAGATGGGCAATCCCTCAGCTACATGACATTGATGCCTTGACAAGAATGGTTGATCCTTCTCTCAAAGGAAAGTACCCACTTAAGTCATTATCACATTTTGCTGACATAATTTCCCGCTGCGTTTTGGTGAGTTTTTTAATCCTTTCTTTTATTACAAGCGAGTAATTTGTCCAAATCTCCATTTTCTTCAATCCTTCATCAAACTTTGGGTACAAATGAGGAAAAAGGTAACATGGAAAATGATTTATTTCTTGTCACAGAAATTAAAATAAAAAGTAAGTAAAAGGAAGGAGCTGTACTGTGTCAAAATAGGAACTCTACACATGGTGTCTTTTGTTTTTCATAGCCACTAGATTATGAATTATTTACCAGTTTAAGGACATCTGTGAATCTGTAGTATGAGATGTACCAGGTTTATAGGCATAGTTAAAAGTTACAGGGAGCGGAAACATCCCATGTCGATGTTCCGATATCGTTTTCTGCTCAGGTGTCTGAATGCCTTTTCATGACTCGTTGAAGAGTGTGTGTATGTTGTAGTTGAAGCAAACAACACTAGGAAAGTCTGGATCAACGAACAATTTACCAATAATACCCTATTCACCAAATTAAATCTTGTGGCAGAATACGCGTGGTTAACTAGCACACAATCACACACCAAACAAATAAATAATAAAAATAACACAAGGAATTTACTAGGTTTGTCAAAACCCATTTCCTCGGGGAAGAAGCGGAGAGAATTTTCCACTATAAAAGATAAGAAAACAGTACCAAGAGATCCCTTATTACAACCCTTTTAAATACACAATTCGGATCTGCCAGAATCCAGACACAAAGCTGTAGAAGCAACAGATATATTATATTTGCTTTCCTTCTTCTGCTTATTGTTCTCCTGTCTTTTTGTTTATTCGGTGGGTGTTGGATTTTTCACTAGGTAATATGCAATTTTTTGTACAACCAAATGCTTGTGTATGTGGGGGAGAAGAAGAATGAGGCACACTCTATTGATTGGATATTTGATTGCAACTGATATATCCATTGTATTTATATAATGGTCAAATTTTCAATGTTTCAATGAACAGAAATTGATACTGATAAGTTAAAAGGAACCAAGTAGTTGGTGTAACTCCAATGTGAAGCCTGTTCACAGTGTCCTCCCCATTATCATCTTTCAGTTACCCTTCTAGCAATGACAGAGAAGAGATTAAATGCATCATATGATTTCTTAGGGACTATTTCCATTTGGCTCCACCTTCCATATCCTATTCCCGCTATCTTATAGATTGATCGCACTCACAATTGTGTGCAGGACAACTAGTACAGAGTACTATATTACTGTTAATCAAGGAAGAGTGAAGTAGTTTTCGTGTGGCTGTTTTCTGAAGCCCATCTCATATCTCTTCCTAGCATGACTAAGATTTAGCTGTTGTATAGGATTTGCCTTCGCATTTTGTTGTAACTATCTTTAATATTTCCTTGCAGCCTGAGCCTGAATACAGGCCACAAATGTCAGAAGTGGTTCAAGACCTCATACAAATGATAAGAAGAGAATCTCCCAGTAGATCCGATGAAGAATGATTTGAACCAGACATGCATGCTATAGCAGATTCAGGCATGGAGTAACCAAGACTTCCAAGATTTTTTTACTTTTGCAAAGAACTTAACTCGAACTGAGATACTTGGAACCAAAGATTTTGAGGCTGTAGATGCAGTGCCCTGCCAGCAAAGCTTCATACCTCCAAGACAAAGGGCTGGCTAGAAACTGCGTGATTTCAACCAACACAGCTCGGGTTATCCTGATTCTTAGTACAATTTTTTGCAATCATTCTAATGTTCATTTATAGTCCAAACAGAAACCACAATGCATAAAATGCACTAACCCCATTGTTTTGAGAGCTTATTTATGGTTGTTAATTGGTATATCTGAAGTTGTAAATCTTTATTTGTTCTGCTGTACATTTTCAATTGTTTGTACAAGAATATTCTTCACACTTTCAACATGGACTTTCTGTAGCACATTTTTCAGCCTTCAGTATCATCATGGATATATTGAATAATCACTTGAAGGTTGTAATTTTATAATTCCTCCAAACATTATGTTTATTTTTCTTATATACTTTTTCTAGTTGGTTAAAACTACCAAAAGCACATGAGAGTACCAATTAGTGGCCAGATTGAGTATAGAATTCTTTAGGGTAAAACTTACCCGTATCGGGTGTATACACCAATCCAATACATGCATGTCATGTGTTTAAATTTATAGTTCATTAACCTTAATTAATTAACATATGTTTTATTTCATTAAATTACATAATAATGAAAATTACATTAGTTTGGTGTATACGGGTAAAGTTTTTTCCAATTCTTTATGAAAAAACTGTTTTTCCGTAATTAAAGTTAGAATATTTTTCCTTAAATTGTGAGCTAAAATTGGGCATTGTTTGGCGCATCTCTTTTTACCTTTTCCTCACCTTGTGGCTGAATGGTGTCTTTATCTTTTCTCTTCTTCTTCTTTTAGAAAAAATGAGGCGGAGGGTTGCACCGTGGAGAATTGAATGTGCAATATTATTTTCAATCCATATTACTTATTTCTAAGGTTTTTGTCATCCTTTTAGAAAAAAAAAAATGTTTTCTTAACGTCTCACTTAATTAATAAATGATAAATTTGAAAGAAAAAAAACTTACTAGTAATAAAGAATATTTTGCTTTCTTAAACATTGATTATTTTGAAATCGAAAGAAATATATATTTATTAAGGTAAAATTCACTCATTTAGCCGAAGTTAAAAAGAAATTTAATGAAGACTCAATAATTCGCCTATCGCGAAATAATTAGATAAGAATATCCCATAAAATCAAATAAATATTCCTAATCAAATACAGGATAAAATAATTTCGCGATATATACTAAGATTGTTATCTCCATATAAATAGAGTGAGTGATAAGCTGTATAAAGCCTTTGTCTCTGCTGTCATCCCGTGAATGAATAGCTACATTGTAACGTGCAGTGCAATTTCTACTGGTAAAAAGAAGAAGAATATTTAAGCGGAAGCAAATTCAGGGAAGAAAAAGTAGTAAAATATCACTGTATTTCATAAAAAAAGTGAATACATATTGGAAATCTAAAACCCAAGTTGTTCAAGATTCAGATTTGAGCTTGTTTGCACATATCCAGATCTGTGGAATAGGTGATGGCTGGGCGTTACAATGACAATCCTTTTGCTGAAGAAGATGAAGTGAACCCATTTTCGGTATATACCCATAAATTCATTTCTACTCTTCTTTACTATCTACTTGGTACTTGTACTATCTTGTGTGACATTTTGAAAATTGTGGGTTTTAACGAAATGGGGTTTTGTGGGGGTAAATTTCTTGTGTTAAAGATTTGTTTTTTTTGCAGAAAGTGAATACTGGGTGTGGAGTTTTGTTTTGTTGGTACATATTTTCAGATCTGTTACTAAGATTGTGGATCGTGTTTTCCTATTCAACTTCTTTTTTGGGAGAATGTAATTGAAATGTTTAGTATGGGTTAAAATATTTCTGCTTCTGTAGGATTTGGGAGCTATTTGAATTTCAGTGAACGAGCTTGTAGTAATTGAGCTATTGGAGAATTGAGTTGTGGCTTGATTTTCTTATGAGAATCATGCAAGATGACAATGTCTGGGGTGGGATTGTTAGATTAGGTGAATAAAGTAGTTTCTGCAATAGAATGGGATTTTTTTTCTATAGAGTGATGGAAGATTAAGGGTGTGTTCAGTATGAAGGGAAATGTTTTCTAGGAAAATAAATGGATTTCTACTTATTTTCTTGTGTCCGGTACACAAGCAAAAAGAATTATTCTAAAAACATTTGTGTATAATCTAGACAAATAATATGAGAGGTGGTGTGGTGGGGATGGGGGCTACGCGGTTTGGGGTGAAGATGAGGTGTGATGGAGGGTGGAGAGGGCACTCAATGTGGAATGCTACTTGTTTTCCCTACTTCCATTAGGGAAGTCATTCTTAAGGAACTTGTTTTCCTAGAGAAAAAGTTTTCCAAAAGTTTTGACCAACCGAACATGAGAAAATCGGATGTTTTCCCTCATACCGAACACACCCTGGAAGAAAAAATATCAGTTTTTTTGAGCAGGAGGAGAAGGGTGGGAATTTTGTTGCCTTTGTGCTTCACAAGTGTCAGAATAATACAATGTGACTGCAGTCTCAGATTTTTTTTTTTGGGATAATAGTATTCAGTATGACATCTTTGGGATGATTGGTTGTTGCTTGGTATTTATGGATATTGTGCTCAGTGCTGATTTAACTTTGGCAGATAGAACTTACATTTTTCCATTTGTATTTTGCTCTTTCCCACAAATTATTACTTGAATCGAGCTTCCTTTTCTTTTCTTGTTTTTTAGTTTTTTATGTGCTTCATATTTTTCTTGTTTTAGGACCGAGGACCTCTACATAAGGTTCAATAGAAGTGGTCCATTTTATATGAACACGATAAGATTTTCTTCCAAAATTCTTGGGAGTTTTCTCATTTGAATACCGAGTTGCTGAAGATATGGAAAAAGATATTATTACATTTTCTTGAATTCTAAATAATCTTATGTAATAAACGTGCAAAATTCTTCTTACCCCATGAAAGGCCCAAATGCTGCTGAAAAAGGTGGATCATACACTAAAGTTTTCTCATAAAAATCAAGCCTCATCTCTCGGATAAAGGAAGCAATTCCTACCAGAGTGTGGATCATCCTAGTTATCCAGTGTAGCAGTTTACTGCCATAGAGATATTGGGATTTGATTTTATTATTTTATTTTTTTGAGAAGGATTTGATTTTATTATTGATACTAGGGTCCCCAACCAAGTATCTTATTACTAGCTTCTAAGGCATTCTGATAACCTGTCAATGTATTTAACAAAATGGTAGTGCATTTGCAACTAGTGTGGTCAGCAAAATGAGGGGAAGTAGTTTGTCTCCTTAGCTATTTCAAAATCAATTTTGTCTACACACCCAACTAGCGAAATGTACAACTAAGGGCTGATGTTTATGCATTTGTGTTTTATTTAACACCTTGTCCTCTGTCCACAATGTAACTTGCGGACTTCATTGACATTGGGATTATCTATCTAGTTTGATTTGTATTCTAAAATAATTGGAGCGGGAAATTTTCAATCTCGTAAAAGCTGATGAATTGTTTCTTGTGTGCATATTATGCAAGACTTCATCTTCATTCTTGAATAGTGAGAATATCCATTTGCATGTTCTTCTTTTTAGTCCTAGTAATGGTACACGGGTACCTTACTTGCGCATATTATGGCACTTAGTACTTACTAAATTCTGCAGAATAATGGAAGTGTTCCTGCTGCTACAAACTCGAGGCCTTATCCTCTTCCTCATGAACCTGCCGGCTATGATCGTGGCGCAACCGTTGATATTCCTCTTGATGGTTCAAAGGTAAAAGAATGATTTGATAAATTGAATTTGCACTTTTTTCTTCCCTGTGACTACTATACCTGTGTTCATTTGGAGTATAGGTTTGAGTGATCATGTATTTTACTCATATAACTAATCAGGACATGAAGAAGAAAGAGAAAGAACTCCAAGCTAAAGAGGCTGAATTAAAGAAAAGAGAACAGGTGGGTTGTTACTCTACATTTATGTCTTGCGTATCTTCCACAATAGAAAACACAAGTTCTTTCTATTCTATTGCTTGTTAATTATGGAAGACGTGTAAGATTATCTACTACCAAATAATTATTGTTGTCTTGCTCTAGATGATATTATCTCTTATTTGGCTCAAGGTGCTGCGGGCTGTCTTTTCCTTTTAGGCATTTTGTACATTATTAATTGTCAGTTTTATTGGTTTAATATAGGAACTTAAAAGGAAGGAGGATGCAATAGCAAGAGGTAGTTTTCTACTGTATACACGCTTGTCTTTACAGTTTTTGAACTAATTCAGGGCTTTTGCTTCTTTTTTTTCCTCTGCTAATTGACTTTATTTCCAATCTTTCTTTTTCCTTTTTCAGCTGGTGTAGTGATTGAAGACAAGAATTGGCCACCTTTCTTCCCCATCATTCATCACGATATCGCAAATGAAATTCCAATTCATCTACAGAAGTTGCAATATGTTGCATTCACTACATTGTTGGGTATGTCTGCATGTCTTCCCTATAAATATCTTCTCTATGGATGCTATTAGTGCCTCTATCTTGACCTTTCCAATAAGTAATCTTCAACCTTATTGGTTAAACTGACCTGAAAGATTTGGATGCATATTACTTTACCAATGTTTGGACATGTGAAGAGACTGAGATGGTTTGGACATGTGAAGAGACAGTGCGCAGACGCCCCAGTGAGGAGGTGTGAGGGGCTGGTTGTAGAGGGTACGCGGAGGGGTAGAGGTAGGCCTAAGAAGTATTGGGGAGAGGTGATTAGACAAGACTTGGCTCAGCTTCACATTACCGAGGACATGACTCTAGATAGGAAGGAGTGGAGGTCGCGTATTAAGGTTGAAGGTTAGTAGGGTTAGCGTGTTGTCTTTCCTTGCGAGGGTATGGGTTGTTAGCGTTTGTAGTAGTCCTAGCCTTGCACTTGCAGTTCTTGTCTGTGATACCTATCGCCTTATGTTGTTTACTGCGTTTCACTTCTCACATTCTTTATTGATGTTATTGTCTCCTTTGTTGATTATATACTTTCTTTCTTATTGGATGTTATGTTTTATACTTTGTTTTCCTCTCCTTGTTCTTGGATTTGATGTTCTTGAGCTGAGGGTCTCTCGGAAACAGCCTCTCTACCTCCACGAGGTAGTGGCAAGGTCTGCGTACACTCTACCCTCCCCATACCCCACCTAGTGGGATTTCACTGGGTATGTTGTTGTTGTTGTTGTATTACTTTACCAATGTTCCAAAAAAAAAAAGATTTGGATGCATATTATTCTTATTCACTACTTTCTTGGTCGACTATGTTCCAAAAAAAAAGTGTTCTGTATGGTATTCCAAGCTACCTATTTGCATAATAGTAGCATTTATGCTCCCAAAGACTTTAAAACATAAACTCAATCTTTTAGACAAGCTTTTTGTGCAAATGGTTTTAGTGACACATGGATTAAGAGGGTCTACGATTTCCTCTAAGTGCCTGCTATTGTCTTTGGAATTTGGGGCAAAGATTTGAAAGTCATACTAGTTCATATCACTTGTAGCTGTACATCTCAAAACTACCAGTTCAAATGGAGATAAAAGAGAATGAAGGAAATTTTCTAGATGGTTTTTGTTAGAATGATTCATGACAGTTATTTTCTTTCTTCTATTGTTCAATCAGACTACTTTCTTGGAGCTGATTTCTTTAGTTAATGCTCATATGGTTGAGTGACATTGGACATGGTAAATTGCAGGTCTGGCAGCCTGTCTTGTATGGAACCTTGTTGCTGTCACCTTAGCTTGGATCAGAGGAGAAGGTTGGTTGCGCTGGAACTTCATTTACTGACCTCTCTTAATCTTTTGTGAAAATTAACCATCTAAGGTTTACATTTTGTTGTTGTAGGTCCAACTATCTGGTTGCTTGCTGTTATCTACTTAATATCAGGTGTCCCAGGAGCCTATGTATTGTGGTATCGGCCTCTCTATCGTGCAATGAGGTACATATTGTGCTTCCTTAGTGTGGAGAAATAGTTGTGTGCTCACCTATGGGAGGGAATTGATTATACGGAAAAGGGTCAAAATTGCCCCCGAACTATATGAAATAGATCATTTATATCCTTCGTTACATTTTGGGATCAAAAATGCGCTTGTTGTTATCCTAAGAGACCACAAATACCCTCAAGAGTTAACACCCCAAATTTTTGTTGACGTGGCAAACCACGTGGGACTAATCCTTCCACCTAAGCGTTGCCAACTAGGATTCACTACAAAAGAATTAGACCTTTAGCGGCAACAACAGTCGCCACAAAAGCCCAGAAAATCGTCACTAAAAGTTTTTAACATTAAATTCTAATTTTGTGTTTTTTTCTTCATTGTTTTTAAAAAACCAAATAAGATATCGATTAAGTAGGAGTTTGAAGACACTATATGTTTTATTTTTATGTCATATGTAAATGTATAAAATGTACAATGATGCATTATATATATATAGTAGGAGATTTGAATCGAGAAGTAATTTTGATTATTTTTCGTAATAATATTAGATGTTTTTAATATGGATATTGCAAGTTATTTATTTTAGAAAATTAGGTCGCAATCAAAAATTAATTATCATATTTTTTTGTTGAAAAAATAGGTTTTACTAGCGAATGGTTGTTGGAACCTTAGTCGCCACTAAAAATCACTCATAACCTTTAGTGGCAATATTTTGGGATTTTGTGGCGACTTTGTCGCCACAAAAAGTCAAGTTCTTTTGTAGTGAATCTTAGTTGGCAATGCTTAGGTGGAGGGATTAGTCCCATGTGATTTACCACGTCACTAAAAAATTGGGGTGTTAACTCTTGAGGGTATTTGTGGTCTCCTGGGATAACTGCGGGGTATTTTTAATCCCAAAATGTAATGGAGGGTATAAGTGGTCTATTTTGCATAGTTTAGGGGCAATTTTGACCCTTTTCCGTTGATTATATTATTTTTCTTTTTGTTTCTGTAGCGTGATTGTCCCTTCCAAAAGAGTATATTCTGATATCCATTTTGTTTGCAGGACTGATAGTGCGCTGAAGTTTGGGTGGTTTTTCTTAAGTTACGTGGTAAATACTACATTTCCTTTTTAGTTTTTCTTTAAACTGCTGAGTTGTTTATTGAGGACTCTGAGTACCTTTTTCCACCTTGTAGTTTCACATTGGATTCTGCATCATTGCTGCTGTGGCACCTCCAATTTTCTTCAAGGGGAAATCTTTGACGTAAGTTACCTTTTTATGTTAAAATGGGCAATGGTTGCTGGTACAAGAATGTTTCTTGGATATGCAGACCATGTTTGGCTATTGAGTTCTTTAGCTAATCTATGTTTTCGTTGATAATATGATGCTTTCTTAAAATAATAATGGCTCATTCTTTTTTCATTTCCTTGTTTAACAGTGGTATCTTGCCTGCAATTGATCTTTTAGGCTGGCATGTTTTGGTTGGGGTAAGCTTTTATATTTTTGTCTCAAAGTTTACCTTTAAAAGCACTACTGAGTCGTATATTTCATCTGAGTTCGTATTCATGCTATTTGCTATATCAACAAATCTTAGCTTTTCTTTGTCTTAAAAGAATCTGATGAGTAATTCTTTTCCCGTGAAATAGTACATTTTGCTTGTAAATTTGCTTCATTTCTTAAACATGGTTTTCATTTGCAGATATTCTACTTCATTGGAGCTGGATTCTTCTGTCTTGAAACACTGATGAGCATATGGGTTATACAGGTTTAGTCATCTGCCTCTCTTTGTGATACTACTTTGGTTGGTTCTGTCTCACCCCAAGCATCTTTCAATTTTGCTCCGCCTTGTGCAGCAAGTCTACATGTATTTCCGGGGAAGTGGAAAGGCTGCAGAGATGAAGAAAGAGGCTGCAAGATCGACTATGATGGCTGCACTATGACGACATTATTGTAGGGTCATTCGAGCATATGCAGTTTTGGTCTTCGGGTTTGTTAAATTCTTTGATTGCTTTCCATTAGTACAACTTAACTGGATATACCTGAATGATGCAAATGTAATTCTGGAGTACATAGTGATAGCAATGAGTAACACTTGCCCTTTCTTTTGGACAGTCTGTTGTTATGTGGATATTCATAGTAATCTGATGCTCATTGTGCTATTTTTCTCAATTTATGTGGCAGTATTCGGATTTCGAGAGTCAAACTAGCTACTTGACAGATTTGTGGCTATACAAGATGTTATGCAAATAAGTTGCATATAATTTTCAAGTAATTTATGTTTATCCTGTTAATTCTTCCTCTGCAAGAAGTGGAATAATTAGGCAGAGGAAGAGTAGAATGCAGAAGAGACAATTTGGTTTTCTTATTTGTTCATTGTATAATCTGATCACTATAAAACTAACAATACATTTTTTTTTTTCTTATTACAATTTACAAGCCACAGAATTATTTTTTTAATTAAAATTGCATAAATTCTCATAAATCAAATATTGTTGGAAATTTTCTTTTCCACAATCTCTCATTCTCTATATAAATATATCCTCCAATTGGTCCATCCAAATTCTTAACAAAACTCTGTCATGTTTTAAGAATCATTTAGTTCGCAAACAAAATTATCTTGAGAGTAAAAAGTGGGATAAACTAACACCAAATTTTAGGTATAAATTCACCTTCGAATTAGTTATACATTCAATCAAATAAAATATAAATACTTAATTATCGAATATTCCATCTTATCCCATAAATGTGTTGGTTAAAAGTTGTCTTGCTGTATTTTTCCAAAAGATAAATGAATAATGGTAAATAGCACAAAGATTTGGAAAAGGTTTTTGTAGTAATAACCTTTTTGGAGAAAAAAATTTGGTGCAAAACACGTTAAAACATGTCGTAGTTTTGTCTTTTCTTAAAAATAAATAAATTTGTGAGTCTATTTCAGTGGAAGAAGATTTTTTCTTCAATAAGTCCCTCTTTACTCAAAAAAATCTTCAACAACAATAAAATACTAGTAAAATCTCATAACTAAAATTTAGGAAGAATAAAATATATGTAGATTTTATTATTATCTCGTAGAGATAGAAAAACGACTATTATTTTCAAAAAATCCTCGACTCATATACAACTATTCCAAATATAAAAGGGGAAATATAACAAATCTTCAAGGTAGCAACTTCTTTATTTCAAATTGTTTTCTTTTTCAACAACAAAAAAAAATCTTCAAAAAATAAACTTAATTTAAACACTTATTTTCCTCCAGGAATATCTTTCCCTCTCTTTATTTCTGGCCGGCAGCTTATTTCCTTTTTTCAGCTGTTACAATTGTTAATGAGTTAATAAAATTTGCTTATTTTCTTGTTCATCTGTAAACAAGCCGAAAATGGTGCTTCAAACATACACTTCCATGGTGATTGGAACAGCTTATGAAGCTCCACTTCAATCTCAACCTATTACTTCATCTCAAAACCTTAATTCTCATTTCAATTTTAGGGTTTTTCTAGGGTTTAACTTACACAGTTTTACCCAAAAACAAATCTGTAAATCTCAACTTTCATCCAAAACTGACCACCCATTACACAGAAACATCAGGAATCTGCAACCCCACAAGCTAAAACTTCAAGGAGATGATAAAGATAGGGTTTTTATAGGGTTTAAGCTACAGTGTCATTCAAAGGCTGAAGCTTTACCTTCAAGAACGGTTATTAATGGTAAAAAGAAGGGATATGGAGGTATTTTACCTTCAATTTTGCGTTCTTTACGCACAGAAAGTGATGTTGAGAAAACCCTTAATTTGTATTATGGGAAGCTTAGTCCTAAAGAGCAAACTGTGATTCTTAAAGAGCAGAGTAATTGGGAAAAGGCTCTTCGGGTATTCGAGTGGATGAAATCGCAGAAAGATTATGTTCCGAATGTAATTCACTATAATGTTATACTTAGAGCACTAGGTAGAGCTAAGAAATGGGATGAGTTGAGACTTTGTTGGATTGAAATGGCGAAGAATGGTGTTTTTCCGACGAATAATACTTATGGAATGCTTGTTGATGTGTATGGGAAAGCAGGGTTGGTGAAGGAGGCTCTTTTATGGATTAAACATATGAAGTTGAGGGGAATTTTCCCGGATGAGGTTACGATGAATACAGTTGTTAAAGTTTTAAAGGATGCAGGGGAATATGATAGAGCAGATAGGTTTTATAAGGATTGGTGTACTGGGAAGATTGAATTGGATGATTTTGATTTGGATTCTATAGATGATTCTGAACCTTTTAGTTTGAAGCAGTTTTTGTTGACTGAGCTTTTCAGGACCGGAGGGAGGAACCCGTCTAGAGTTTTAGAAATTGAGAAAACTTGTAGGAAACCTCAAATGACTGCCACCTACAATACTCTGATTGATTTGTATGGAAAGGCTGGTCGCTTGAAGGACGCTGCAAATGTGTTTAATGAGATGTTGAAATCCGGTGTGGCTTTGGACGCTGTAACATTTAACACTATGATCTTTATTTGTGGAAGTCATGGCTACTTGGAAGAGGCGGAAGCATTGCTGAATAAGATGGAGGAAAGAGGAATATCTCCTGATACTAAAACGTACAACATCTTCCTGTCTCTTTATGCTAATGCAGGTAAGATTGATAGGGCTCTTCAGTGGTACAGAAAGATAAGGAGGACGGGACTTTTCCCTGATGCTGTGACTTGTAGGGCTATTATTCGAACACTATGCAAGCAAAATATGGTCCAGGAGGTTGAAAATGTGATTAGTGAAATTGAAAGTTTAGGTATGTATATAGATGAACACTCTCTTCCTGTTATTATGAGAATGTACATCAATGCAGGGTTGATTGATCGTGCAAAGGCAATTTTTGAGAAGTGTCAACTGAACGGTGGGTTCTCATCGCCAGCTTATGCTGCCATCATCGATGCGTATGCTAATAAGGGACTTTGGGCAGAAGCAGAGGATGTGTTCTTTGGTAGAACAGACAAGGTTATTCAGAAGAAAGCAATTGCAGAATATAATGTCATGATCAAGGCATATGGAATCGCAAAGCTATATGATAAAGCTTTCTCGCTCTTCAAGGGAATGAAAAGCCAAGGGACATGGCCAGATGAGTGCACTTATAACTCTCTAATCCAAATGTTCTCTGGGGGTGATTTAGTTGACCAAGCCAAAGAGCTCTTAGCCGAAATGCAAGGATTGAGATTTAAACCTTCATGTTCTACCTTCTCTGCACTAATTGCTAGTTATGTGCGCATGAATAGGCTTTCTGATGCTGTTGATGTCTTTGATGAAATGTCCAGAGCAGGTGTAAAACCAAATGAGGTTGTCTATGGTACTTTAATTGATGGGTTTGCTGAAGCTGGTAAATTTGAAGAAGCTATGCATTATTTCCATGTCATGAATGACTCTGGGATTCAAGCTAATCAGATAATCTTGACTTCAATGATTAAGGCTTATAGTAAGCTTGGATCAGTAGAGGGAGCGAAAAAACTGTATGAGCAGATTAAAAACTTGCATGGAGGTCCTGATATCATTGCATCCAATAGTATGCTCAATCTGTATGCAGACTTTGGAATGGTCTCGGAAGCAAAAATGATATTTAATCATTTGAGGGAGAAAGGTCAGGCTGATGGTGTTACCTTTGCAACCTTGATTTATGCATACAAGAATATGGGTATGCTTGATGAAGCCATTGAGATAGCAGAGGAGATGAAGCAGTCTGGACTTTTAAGAGATTGTATGACATTCAATAAGGTAATGGCATGTTATGCCACAAATGGGCAGCTTGTTGAATGTGGGGAATTGCTGCATGAAATGATTAACCGGAAACTTCTGCCAGATGGGGGCACATTTAAGGTTTTATTCACAATATTGAAAAAGGGAGGTTTTTCGGTAGAGGCAGTTAGACAGCTCGAGTTGTCTTACCGAGAAGGTAAACCTTATGCCAGACAGGCAGTGATAAGTGCTGTTTACTCTGCAGTAGGCTTGCACACATTTGCAATTGAATCCTGCAGCGTTATCACACAACCAGGACTGGGACTCCATCTCTTTGCTTACAATGTTGCAATATATGTGCATGGAGCTTCATCCCAAATTGATGAGGCACTAAAAATATTTATGCGAATTCAAGATGAAGGACTGGAACCAGATATTGTCACATTTATTAATCTTGTAGGTTGCTATGGGAAAGCTGGCATGGTTGAAGGTATAAAGCGGATATATGGCCAGTTAAAATATGGACACATCGAGCCCAATGAGTCATTATACAACGCAATCATAGATGCCTATAGTGATGCAGGCAGATATGACCTTGCTGATTTGGTTAGTCAGGAAATGGAACTCGATTTAGATGTGAAGAAGCTTACAGACTCTGAATCTGAAGGTGTTGTGGATGAAGTTTCTGAAGGTGGCAAAGGAGAAGATTCGGAAGGTTGATAAGCCCATCAAGGCTAAGTGTGGCCTTGTGCTCAGTAGCATTCTTGACATATCTTATGTAATTTGAATTGACTAGCTTCTATTTTGTGCCCTTATATGAGCCTTGTTTGTTATATAATTCGAGTTGAGCCTTTTGGGTTGAGTCAGAAGAACTGGAAAAATGAGCATGACCATGTTTGGTGTGAAGGTGGAAGAAAGAAAAGAAGGCAAAAATGGACAGCCATCTATTGGTCTTGTTTATCAACATCCAATAGCTAAAATTGGTTTTACTCCAGCTTATCCTGATTTGTGTACAGCTTGGCGACTCCTTAGGTAACATTCCCCATTCCCTTCAGCTTCAGCAACCTTTTGAACTGATGGTAATGTGTTTTAGGATTAGTAGAAGTAATAAAAACTGTTGAATTGCGTGAACATATGAGAAGGTGAAAATTCTTCTTTATATTTTTTTATGATGGATGGTGGTGTAACTTGAATCCATAGACCTCTAAAGCTTAAGCTGTTGCGGAGTCGAACATGCTTTTATTTACTTAATCATGTCTTCAACAAAGAAAGGGACAAAAGACAAGTTCTGTTAGATTTTCTTGTTTGCTTTCTCCATATTGTTGTATCCAATGTTAGTAAAGCATAGTTGTTTATCCTTGCTTTCAATTTAGTTACGCCTTACGCGGATTGATAGGAAAAAGGTAAAAAATTGTTTTTTTGATCCACCGAACAGCTGTTGAAAAATATCCAGGGAATAGAATGTTGGGATGGTGTAATTTTAAGGGTGGAAAGGTGAAGTACAATGTTGTCTACTTATCTGGATTTCTGTCATCGTTAGTGTTAGTGGAGTATAAAATATTTCTCTGTATTTACTCACCATCTTCCTTTTTAAAATAGTGGAGTCCTTATAACTGGAAAACCTACAAAGAAGCTTATGAAGAGATTTTGCAGACTGGTTCTGCATTAGGGGCTCTCGGTATTGAACATGTAAGCAATAGGCGCACTTAGTATTTTTGTCAGTTTTAGCTTCTTAAGAATGTCATGTGTATCAAGTACAATAATATTTGAATGTGTAACAGGGTGCTCAAATTGGAATTTATGGAGCCAATTGTCCTTGGTGGATAGTATTGACGGAGGTTAGTCTATGTTTTTGACCGCATGTAATCATATTGTGTTTAATTTTGTCAAAAGAGTTATCCATTTGCATCTTTTGATAATTAAGGCAATTTAGTTTGTTTTCAGGCGTGCAGTGCCTCCAGTTTGATATGTGTCCCCCACTATTATACCCTTGGTAAATAATGGTTCTGTAGTCTCCCACTTATATTATGTTGTTTAAACACTACATTTCCTTTTTAAACCTTTTCTTTATACTGTTGAGTTGTTTATTGAGCACTATGTGTACTTTTCATCTTGTAGTTTCACATTGGATTCTGCACTGTTGCTGCTGCGGCACCTCCAATTTTCTTCAAGGGGAAACTCTTGACGTAAGTTGTTTTATTTTTTATGTTAGAATGGGAAATGGTTGTTGGTACAAGACATTTCTTGGATATGCAACCAATTGCATTACCTTCTTGCTCAAGAGGACCATGTTTTAGCTAGAGTTATATCAGTTCTCTTAGCTAATTTACGTTTTCATTGATAATTTGATCTATCCTTGTTTAACAAAAATGATTCATTCTTGTTTCATTTCCTTGTTTAGCAGTGATTGATCTTTTCGGCTAACATGATTTGGTTGGTGTACGCTTTTATATTTTTGTCTCAAAGTTTACCTTTGAAAGCACTACTGAGTCGTATATTTCATATGAGTTCGTATTCATGCCATTTGAGTATATCAATTCTTGACTTGTCACTCATAGTAGAATTCGATGAGTAATTCATTTCCCATCACATCAGACATTTTGCTTGTAAATTCGCTTCACATCTTAAAACTTCTTTTTCCTTTGTCATATTACTTGAGAAGTTGTGTACATTTTTTTCAAATTTGCTCCACCTTGTGCAGCTAGTCTACATGTATTTCCGGGGAAGTGGAAAGGCTGCGGAGATGAAGAGAGAGGCTACAAGATCGACTATGATGGTAACACTATGACGACATTTTGATAGGGTCATGCAGTTTTGTTAGTTCTGGTCTAAGATAAGATTCATGTTGTCTGGATCATGTTGAATCTATGCATTCAATTGAGAAATTAAGGAACTGGATAACCTTCCCCTTTTGTGCTCCATGAGATCGAAAATACAACTATAAGTTTGAAATAGAAGTATCCCATCCGTCTTATAGCATGTTTGGCCAAACTTTTGTTGTTAGAAGTAATTTTCGGAAAAAAAAATTAATAGTTTTCCTAGAGTGTTTTTATGTTCGACTAATAAATTCGAATTATATTTTTTGTATTGTATTTGAATTAACCCAAAGAATGTGGTACTTGTATAACCAAAAAGAGGAACATGGTCCCTTAGACACCTACCTAACTATTTGGTGGTGTTGAAACATTGCTTTAATGTCAAGGCATATGGTTTGCCCCTTTCTATCACATTTGCCACTAGCTGTCAAAATGAAATTAATAATAATTTGTTACAAAAATATGAAGAATATATCATCTATACAATGTTAAAAAAAAACTAGTGAAATTCCTCATATCTTTTCCTTTTTTCCACTTGATGTTCGGTACTTGCATTGAAATTTCGATTAATCTGGATTCGTGCCCCTAAGACTAACAAGCAGAGCGGACCTACTCTTGACAGAGTTGGTGCACGTGTATCCGTTAATTTTAGAAAAATTTACGTGTATATATATGTATATATCTAAATAAGGAATAAATAATTAAATGTGCACCTTAAAATACATAAGCTGAGTTGGTGCATTGGTTCCACACTGTTCATTGTGCTTCCTTGCAAGTAGAATGTCTTGAATTCAATTCTGGTTGTTGTGTTTTTCTTTTTGTCATTTTTTTTAAAAAAAAACATTAAAAACCTCAAGCAAGATTCGAACTAGCAACCTCAAACTGTACACGGAGAGTCAAGACCATAGAGTGAACTGTGTTACATTTAGTTTAATTTATATTTATATATACCTTCGATTTTATACTTGTTTAATAATATTTTCCGATTAAGTGTCGGTGCTTCGACTAACCCACATCTGTCATCAGTAGCACCCCGTCAGCTTTAAATCCTCAATTCGCCTCTGCTAACAAGATATTTTCCATACTCAACACTTGAACCTGAAACTTCTGATCGGTTGAATCAATCATAATCTATATAAAAACTAAAAATATGTGATATATAAAAAACCCAACTTGACAGAATGTTTCTTTTCATGCTCTTAGTTAAGTATGGCCATAGAACTATTTGAAGACAAAAAAATTGAATTGTGCTTATGGATGTCATGAAAAAATTGAAAACTCAACATGGGTATATTAATTGGTTGATACAGACTCCAAAAAATTGGACCCTCATCCACTAAATTGCCAACCCAAATCCAGTTCAATATACTATCATATTGGCCCCAACATAAATGCAATTATCAACTTGTATTACTTTCACTTACAAATTCTTGGTCAAATATATTGGGATTTAATATGTTTTTTATTGTTCCTTCTTTGGAATGGTAAAGAAGGGTGCTTAGTGTCACGGACTTAGACTTCAATTAACGCTTTGTGCGGTAGCTTTAATTTTATGTCTAAGTGGGAGGACAAAGTAGCGGGTCATGACATTAGTCTATAAAAAGAACAAATGCTATACTTAGTCTATAATAATGTAGGTGTTTGGATAATTTGCATTATTGAAAAATACTTGCCTGAATTAAAAATTAGCATACCTACTTTATAAATGATATATTAATTGCCTAGTTACTTTTCAGTATATATGAAAAGTGACCCTGTGAAATATGTTGGGTTGGATTTGGGCAGGGTGGGTGAATATAGGTAAATGTTAATAGTTATGTTTTTATAGTAAAATTTATTGTCGTGTGATTAATGTCACTAATTTAAATGGTAACAATAAATTCTTGTAGAAATTATATACCATATAGCGAGAAAACTTAGTGCATTGAATTGTGATTATGATAAAAAAAAAGAAAAAAAAGAATTGTATTGATCGAGTAATAACAAAAGTAGGAGAAAAATGAAGAAGGTCTTCATTCTACGGAAAAGAACAATACATGTGTGCCCCTAAAATATCGAATTTGTTTATGATTGTGGATTAAGAGTTGGAAAAAATCGAATCATAACTAATAAGATGAAAGTTTAAGTGTAACAACTAAAATTTCTCAACACAATACTAATATATATATAATACTCATTGAATCCAAATTGCAATTAAGAATTGGAGCAACAAAGTAATATAGTAAACAATACTAATGGAGATTGTCTCCATCAATTAATCGAATTTGTTTTATAATATGATTGTCTCCATCAATCAATTGGCTACCTAAAGCCTACATCATTAATTTTAGGGGCAATCTTAATTCTTAAGTCAAAAGAAAGCTATTAAGGGTTTAAAGTAGCTAATAAATTAAGATTTCTCCATAGTTCTAGTTAAAACTTGAAAAAAATGATTATTTTTTTTATATTGTGTTAAAATTAGTTTTTGGAATTTGAAGTTTGAGCTTGAACATGCCTTTTGATTTAATTTTTTTTTGAATGAAAGTGAAATTTCACTCAAAAACGGGGCGATACTAGTTTTTGAAACTTGATTTAATTTATCTAAAAACTCCAATTTTTGTTTTTGTTTTTCACCCGGTGTCCGGTACCCACATTGAAGTCTGACCAAATTTGAATTCACGTCAACAAATCCCACGAAGGTAAAATGCTCCCTAATAAAGGCGACTTCATACTTAAGGAGACTCGAACCCGATACCTCTTGGTTTAAGATGAAAGAGTACTTACTGGTTCCGAATTTCATTAACAAACAATCTTTCAATATATTTTTGAAAAAATCTACTCTTAAAATCCATAACCAAACGAGAGCTAAACAGATAACAATCATAAACTAAATCCCATCCATTAAGTGCATTTTTGCCCCTTTGTTTCTTAACAAGAAATTAAGATCTCTTGACCACTAATGAAAACAGTCTTTTCAAATCTCTTATAAATTCAATAAATAACCTACAAAATCAATTCTCTATTTTTTATTCATTCTATTACTTTAGAATATGAAAAGTAAACCAGAAAAAATATATTTAATTAGAAAAATATATTTAATTAGATAGATGTTGACCATAGATTAAAAAAATATTTATCCTTAAATTCAAATTATAAGTCAGCAATGTGCCATCCCATGCCACAGTAATGTCTCAACTGTCTCTGCTTCAACTTTTACTTTTCCTTTTTCCCAATTTCATGCCTATAAATACCCTTTAATAACTCATCAAATCAAACCTCACCACTTTATCAAAGTACCACTTTTTCTCTCTCTCTGTTTCAAACATTATAAGCAAAAAACAACAAAAACAAAAAAATGGTCTGTTTTTGTTTCTTAGTAGATCAAACAAAACAGGTGTGCAAGAGCAAACCCGCCGCCGGAACATGTTCGCGTTGCGGCGGCGGAGCTAGTGTAGCAGACATGAAGACTGCTACACGGTTTTGCTATGTTCCCTTTTATTGGAAAAATTGGAGAGCTATTATGTGTACATTTTGCGGTGCAATTCTTCGCTCTTATCGATGAAATACGTCGTTAGAATTTCACATTGGTCGAAGAAATGAGACGTAACGTAATCTTCTAATTATGATTTTATTAAATAAGTTATTAGTATATCTTTTGAGGTTGAGTTAGTGTTCCGTTTTTTAATCGATTTTTTTTTTTTTTTGGGAGATTGATTAAATTTTAGATGATGATTTAGACTATTTTTATTTTATTAATGTACTAACAGCTGCTATAGTAAATATATTTGAGAATTAATATTGGAATTTGGATCTCTGTTTACCTTACATAATTGTTTCTTATTCTATGTATTTTTCCCCTCTTTTATTTGATGTAATTCTATGCTTGAATTTATCTCTCTTAAGAAAATAGATGAATGAATAAATGATTATTGATATATGCTGGCGTTTGATCATATATTTTGATTAAATTTATATTTAAGTATTTGTTTAAACATAACATTTG